ACATGGGTATAAGATTAACTAAGTCAAATTGCTGGCAATTTCTTCCCTTTAGGGCTGTTACAACCAGGAATTTACTTGATATATAACCTGAAAAGTAAAAACTAATCACTCTCATTAGTCTTATTTACTTTGTAATCTCTGCACTAACTTAAAAAGAGATTTCTCAATCCAACTATTTTACACACACACACATACAAATAGCCCCCATAAGAAACACATCAAAAGATTTCTACAAAACTGGTTTTTTAGAACTAAGTCATTGTCACAGAGAAAATCAGATATTATACTTCAGATGAGACATTATTTGAGAAGGTGTCTTTTAACTGACTAGTTACTAGCAAAAGAAATTCAAATTAATGTATATTTCAAATGTCTGCAGGATTTCTACTGCCTTACTTCCTAAGGATAAACTATAAAAGTGTAAGCACTAAATGGTAGTCCTGTATCTCTGGTACCATTGCTAAGGAATGAATCATCTTTGAATTGAAAAGGGTTGTTTCTTGGTAAATCAAACTTTCTGCATAGACTCTAGAACAGCCCAAATTCCTGAGCCTTACAAACTATACTGGAGATAGCTACTAATCTTCTCATTGTATCAGAAGCAAACACAAAAATTTAAGCACAGAGAATTTATCATAACATGTAATATCCTTAGTAATTACTGGAAGTCAGAAGTTAGGAACCACATCTAACTTGCATACTATCCATTGCATTATTTTAGCTATAAAGTTAAGTGTGCATTTCCTCACATAAAAGGCACACAATAAAATACTGGCTTACAGCTAGGAGTTTATATGGTAAATAACAATAACTTCTTTATTTTAACAAGACAAGTATTGCTTGGTTTTAAAGAATAAAATAGTATGTATTACAGAGTGAATATTTCCCTCCATTTATATTAAGGGTAAGGTCAAAAGTTTATACATACAATCTCCTAATTTTACATTTTTTTCAGTTTAGTAAAGGTAAAATAAATTGTTCTGAGTAGCTTCTGGTATAGAGCATGTCTTAACTGTCCTCATTTTTCTGGATCGCAATTAACCAAACATTTGACTAGGGTTATTCTCTTTGCTTCAGAGAAAGGAAATTATGAGACCAAAAAAAGGTGATTTAAAATGACAATACCATTTTCTACAGGTGACAAATATTCCCAAGCATTACTGTTGAATATAAAGAAGTTTTTAAGTGTTTATAAGGTAAGTGCTAATTCCTTTCAATTTATTTGAACCCTTCCAGGATAAATTAAGTTTAAAACAGAACGATTCCTGAACTATTTCTTCCCAAATTATGATCTAAAATCACACACACACACACACACACACACACACACACACACACACCCCTTACCAACTTAAAATTGTTTAAAATAAAAGCAATGGAAGGTAGAAAAGGCCATTCTTTGTCAAAAAGTAGTGAGAAAAGGCTGCCTTTTTTTTTTTTTTTTTTTTTTTGAGACAGAGTCTCACTGTGTTGCCTGGGCTAGAGTGAGTGCCGTGGTGTCAGCCTAGCTTACAGCAACCTCGAACACCTGGGCTCAAGTGATCCTCCTGCCTCAGCCTCCCGAGTAGCTGGGACTACAGGCATGTGGCACCATGCCTGGCTAATTTTTTCTATATATTTTAGAGGACGGGGTCTTGCTCTGGCTCAGGCTGGTTTCGAACTCCTGAGCTCAAACAATCCGCCCGCCGCCTCGGCCTTCCAGAGAGCTAGGATTACAGGCGTGAGCCACCGCACCCGGCCAAGGCTGCCTTTTAATCTATAATTCTAAAAACCTAGTTCTGAGAAGCTAGGTTTTACTTACTGAGAAGACAGTTTTCAGAGAAATGAGTATAATCCATCCCAAACATAGTCAATTTTTCCTCTTATTGCAATAAATACTCCTCTAACAATATTATAAAGCAAAACTCCTAAGTTTTTATTGAAAACAAAAAAAATCCAAACTTTGTAAATTGCTTTTGAGCTTGTTTCAATACTAAGTTTTCCTTTTAAACCTTGTAAAAACACCATTGTTATTTCCAAACAAATAAAAGAGAATAAAATGTTATGTTTGACACTGATATTCTGATTTAAAAATATTAATTTTCCCCTCTTGAGAGGCTACCAGTAGGAAATTTATTTTCTGAGAGAGTCTTAAAATCACTTACCCATCTACTGAGTAAAGTTGAAGATTACTCTGGACTGTCACTTATGAGAAAGAATCACATAAATCTACTAAATCTTCCTTTCTAGCTCCTCACAGGCAATGAAGTATTGATAGGGGACAATTCCTCACATGGACAAAGATCAGCTGAAAAACCCTAGCAGAATCCTGCTGCTGCCAGTATAAGTTTGCTTAATTTATTTCCTTCAGTAAGAATAGCAATGAAAGAAGACACAGAGCCCACTTTGCTATTTGTGAACAGTCAAATATGCTCCTTTCCAAAAGATACTCATCCAAAATACTGTTTCTCATTTCAAAATCAACTTAAGTCTGAAAATATTACCAAAAAAAAAAAAAAAAGGAAGTGCTATGAATTGACAGTGAAGAATTACAAGCAGCCAGCTCATTATTCAATCAAGAATTTGGCACAATCATAAACCACGTACCTTCTATTTTAATGGATCTTAATTCTCCTCCTATCAGCTGAAATTCCAAATCCCAAATTGAACAATGACTAGTGCCAAAACCAGATAATTTTTTCCATTTTTTTTTTGCCAGGGCAATACTGTTACAAAGGAGGGCAGCAAATACTTTTACCACTGTTGACATATGAGATTTGTACATTCTGTAAACTAATATGCAAATATTCCTAAACCATTATAAATCCTTTTATACATTTCCAGGTAGGGTAAACATTAATGTCTCTCTACACGTACATTATCATAGAAGTAAAATACGGAGGTTCCCAAAACAATGTAATATCTCCAAATCCCAGTAACTACTCTTAGCAATTGCAATTATAAGAGCAATTACAAGAGCAATACTTGAGAATAATATATTATCTAACTGGACTTTTTAATTAGTTTTGAGTAAGGCAAGCTTTCTGGTCCACAGTATTTATGTCTCTAAAAACTGTCCATTACTAAGTACACAGAACCAAACTGTCCTAACTATAGACTTGAAAGGAGCTTTCTTTTTGACCTCATTTTTAACCATACAGTGGTACTTTCTATCAATCATTACCATTATTTACTCCAAGATATATATCCAATATAGTTCTGTATAGTGAATTTAGATTATGTTCATTAAGTAAACATTCTTAGAAATTTTTTAAATGACTACAAGGGCAATTTTACAGATGTAGGCAAGGATGAAGGTAAATTCCATTCCCTGATTTTCAATAGCACAGGTAGCTTTTCTCTGTCACTTTCCCTCAGGGACATATCAAATTATAACAAAAACAGGTCAGATTGTACCAATTATTTATGTTTAAATCCAACATTTACATTCTAATGAAATTATAAAATAAGGATTTTGATACAATTGTATATTACTTCTCATTAATGAAACCTAAGATAGATTTACATGTGAGTATTTGAGATGTGGAAAAGTAGACGGAGCACTCAGGAAAACATAAACTACACACACCTCTACTCCAAAGATAATAAAACAACACTTCTTAATGAGTCCACTAAATCTGTGTTCTACAAAGAAGAGATATTATGAAGGGGTAGAGTTGGCCAACATGGACTGAATATGACCTCATTAAGATCGTTTGTTGAAAAAAATAAATTCAAATTACTTTTATAACTTCCATAATTTTTCCAAAAATCTAATTTGGTATTGACATTTATTTTGTCATAAAATTGGAGGCAATAAATGGTTAATTAGAAATATGTCATTCAAAACTAAAGAGAGATGATATGAACCATATATCTTTAATAAAGTTTTCTTGAGGGGGATAGTTAAGCTTGACAAAGATAGAAGAAAAATAAAAGTATTTAACACAAAGTATAAATTACAATTCGAGTGAAAACACTTGAATTAAAAAAAACTCATTAAAAAAGATCTGAAATTAATAAGAAAATATAATCTATTTATGGAAATATTTGTTTTTATTTTATTTTTAAATTGGTGACCTTCTGGTTATTTTCTTAAAAATAAAAAAGCCTCACTTCCCATTCTTCTAGGTATTAACTCACATGCAAAACCATAGGCTCTGCAAACAGTTCAATTATTTCTTAATGCCTGGGTTATCTTAATTTGAAGGTACTTTCCTCTGCCTTTGAGTGACAGAAGGTTTTAGAAATAAGTATTAGAATACACTTGAACTTTACTGCTCAGTGTTCAGACATTATTTTAGTATAACAAATATTATTTACTCCAAAAACTTATCTCCAATCCTCCTGCTTTAAATATTATTGCCATCTCGTCATTTTAGCAACCATGGCATAATACTGTATACTCTAGCTCCCTAACCATAACATAATACTCCTAAAGTTCTAGCGAATTAGGAGCTCTTATGTAAGGACTTCAACTGCTAATATTCACTTCTACTTTAACAATACCAAAGTAACTTGCCACAAGTCCAAGAATGTTCATTCCAGGACCATACTTCTTTTTAAATTCTCTCCCTACCCAGGAGTAGACAGACAATCAAGACTGTAACTGATATTCAGTCATTACTTTTAATTTCAGTAAATGCCTTACTTTAAGATAGATTATATATTGCTTAAATTAATCATAAAATCTTACCCCCAAATAACTTAAGAAACATAACATTTGATAAAAGGCAGTTATTTGAAGCCATCAATTGAAGAACATCTCTTACCTTGGCTTAAAATCATACAGCCCTCTTTAGACCAAGAAACAGGTGTGACAGCAATATAATTAGTAAAAGAAATAGCAACTGCACTTAAAGGGATGACTTTACAATACTACTTTCTCATGTAGAACTGGGTAAAAACCACAAATGTAACACAATTAAATATGAAGATTATTTGTAACACATCACAATCAATTATGCAGAATTTTAAAAATATAAAAATATATATCTTCTTTTTATTTTTATTTTTTTTACCTGTTTTGCAATTTCTCTTAAACAGGCTACTCCTTGTTCAAAATTAGGGAAAGCTACCGAGCCATACTTTTGGTATTCAGGGACTGGTCTGATTTTTATTGTAGCTTCTGTTATTACACCAAGAGTTCCTGAAAGAGAAGGGGGAATAATCCAATATATCACATGACAATTTTCTAAATCATATTTAGATCTATTTAATCTATTTATTCTATTAATTCATTCTACTATTCATATTTAAATTTATTTAATCTATTCTATCTGAGAAATAATGGCTACTCAAGTCTTTTTAGGAAAATGATTAAGCAAATTTTATAATTGCCAAAGAAAAGTCTTTGGAATCTACTTTTCTTAGTTATGTATAAATATTTAAAAATATTTTAAGTAACTTTTCTCCAAGGTTACTTTTAAATGGTTTTTAAAGTATTACAACTTATTAAAAAAAAAAGAATTTGAAAAACAACAGGTTTTTATATCTCATATATATTCATACAGAAGCTTATTTTGATATTTGTGCCTACTTTTACTTTCAAAACAATTTATTGGGCAAAAAGAACCTAACCCTCAATGAGAACTTAAGATGACTGAAGAAATTTGAGGAAATAATACCTTGCCTCTTTTCCTAAGAATTAATAAAAGACAAGGACATTACTGAGATGCCCTTATAAGAAACAAACAAATAGAGATAAAATGGTTATCATAGATATCTAGCACAAGAGCACGACAAATAAAACAAACTTTTTTTTCTTTACTATAATGGGGAGTAGGAGACTAATCAGGGAGGAAAAAGATAAGTTAAATATAACCACAGGCCTAAATATCTATGCTAAAATATTTGAAGGGACATGGTTAAAAACGATTATATTCACAAAGCCAAACTTTTCAAATCAGTGGTTTCTGACATACAAATGGTAGAAATTAATAACACTATTAGTAAATTTTCTGAGAATCATTAAAAAACAGTAAAGAAAGGGAGAAATCTTTAAAATTGGAGAACTTAATTACAACACAAGAAATAAAAGGTATCACAAAATGTAAAGCTTCCAATAAGTTTATAATACAATTAACTTGGCAATATATAGTATGGGATTAAAATCTTCTATGAGTCCATGAAAAGTAAGTTACACTACATTAGATCACAACATATTCAATATATATACATATGATTTCCTGAGATTACAAAATATGACCCTCTTATGACTTGTATGATCACAAAAGCTCTGCAAGTTTAGCCTAATAAATATTTTAATATAAAAATAGATATGTCTTGTAAAATTCACAAGATGACAAAAGTGACTAAACTTTCTCTTTTAGCATCTTTACTGAGATATATTTATGCACAATAAAATTCACCCATTTAAAGTACAAAATACAATGGTTTTTAGTGTTGTTTACAGATATGTGCAACCATCATAACAATCTAAGTTTAGAACATTTTTATCACACCCAAAAAAGAAACCCATAATCACAAAAGTCATTCTCCATTTCCAACCCCCCACCCTAGCACTAGGCAACCACAAAGCTATGTTCTGTCTATACAGATTTGCCTATTCTGGACATTTGGTATAAAATGAATCTCACAATATGTAGCCTGTGACTGCGTTCTTTCACTTACTATAATGTTTTCAAGGTTCATCCATGTTGTAGCAAGTATTAATATTTCATTCTTATTTAATTGCTGAATATTCCATTGTAAAGTATACCTCATTTTGTTTATCTGTTCATCAGTTGATGGACATTTGGCATTCTACTTTTTGGCTACTATGAATGCTGCTGCTATGAATATATATGAGCAAGTTTTTATGTGGACATGTTTTCCTTTCTCTTGGATAAATACCTAAAGACTTTCTTAGTTTCACAAAAATGTTCGATCCTATTCTATATAACATTCAGTCTCCAGCTACCTCTTCACAAGGCTAAGTTTCAGGCAAGTGCAGTTGAGAGGTAGGGCTCACTTCTTGTTCCCAGCCTCAAATGATGGGACAAATGCATGTCATTAAAGATTATCAATAAATAGAGAGAAATTATTAAAAAGAACCAAATGGAAATTCTGGAGTTGAAAAGTACAATAACGGAAATGAAAAATTCACTAGAGGGGCTCAACAACAGATGTGATCTGGCAGAATTAAAAATAGCGAACTTGAAGATAGACTGACAAAAATTATGCGATATGAAGAACAGAGAGAAAAATGAATGAAGAAAAATGAATGGTGCCTCCTAGAAATGTAGGAAACCATTAAGCACACCAATTTATGTATCATGGGAGTGCCAAAAGCAGAGGAAAGAATGAAGTGGAAAAAATTTTTCAAAGAAAGACTGGCTGAAAACTTCCTAAATTTATTAAAAAACACTAACCTCTACATCATGAGAGCTCAACAAATTCCAACTAGTATCAACACAAAGATATCCATAAATAGGCACATAACAGTAAAAATGCTAATGTCAAGCAAGAGAAAACTGACTTGTCAATTACAAGGGAAAACTTATAAAGTTAACAGCTGACTTACCAGCAAAAACAATGGAAGCCAGAAAGTGGTGAAATAATATATCAATACTTAAAGTGCTCAAGAAAAAAAGAAAAAAAAACTGTCAACTAAGAATCTTACACCCAAGAAAGCTATCTTTCAAACATGAAGACAAAAATAAAGATATTCCCAGATACACAAAAGCTGGGAGGACTTTGTGGCTGGAAGACCAGGTTTACAATGCTAAAGGAAGTTCTTCATTTCAAAAGCAGGTGACCCCAGACAGAAATTCAAATTAACACACACAAATAAAGAGCACTTTTGTGTCTTCTTTTATGTAATTACAAAAGATAGTATAAATGTATATTTCCTCTTCTTTTTTCTCATACCTGATTTATAAAGCAATGGCATAAAACAATAAGTACATAATGTATTTTTGGACCAATAACATATACAAATGTGATATATTCACCAGTAACAGCACAAAGGAGGTGAATAGAAGCAAAGCTCTATTGGGCTAACGATATGATTCCAGATGGTAATCTGAACCCACAGGAACAAATGAAGAGAACCAGAAGGGGCTTGGTTAGTACTTGGATAGGAACAACCAGAAGGGATAAATAACATGGTTAATACAACGAAAGCTCTAAGTCTAGACAGGTTGAGTAACCCTTATCTGAAATGCTTGGGACCAGAAATGTTCACATTTCAGATTTTTTCAAATTTTGGCACATCTGCATTATACTTACTGACTGAGCATCCCAAATCAAAAAATCCAAAATATGAAATGCTCCAATGAGCATTTCCTTTGAGCATCTTGTCAGTGCTCAAAAAGTTTTTGAATTTTGGAGTATTCTGGATTTTCAAATTTGGGATGCTGAACCTGTACTTGGTCTCTTTTCTTCTCTTAGCTTCTTTAAAAGTCATACAATTATATAAAGTAATAATTGTAGTAACATATTATTGTGTTTGTATCATTTGTAGAGGTAATGTGAATAACGATACCACATTAAAAGGGGGAAAAGGAACAGAACTATATAGGAATAACATTTCTACATTCTCACAGGAAATAAATCAGTATAAATCTGAAGCTGATTCTCATTAGGTAAGATGTGCATGTTAAGCCCTAGAGCAACCACTAAAAAGACCCTGAAAAACATATACTGAAAAGATCATTAAGGAAATTAAAATGCTACATTAGAAAATATTCACTTAACGCAAAAGAAAGCAGTAATGGAGAACTACGGGAACAAAAAGAAGAAAGACCCATAGAGTGGGAAGAAATGGCAGATATAAATCCAACCATAGCAATAATAACATTAAATATGAATGGATTAAACAACCAAATGAAAAACAGAGATAGTGAGACCGGATTTTTTTAAAAGAAAAATCTTTTCTTTGAGAAATCCAACTATATGCTGTCTACAGGAGACACACTTTAAATTCAGAGATACAACTAGACTGAAAGTTAGAAAAGGATACATCATACAAACAGCAACCACAATAAAGCTGGAATGACTATATACTGACATCAGACAAAACAGACTTTAAACAAAACCGTTACTAGATATAAGGAGGGACATTTTAAATTGATAAACCATTAGGAAGATATAATGACAATTATAAACAAATATGCACCTAATACAGGACACAAAAATGTAAGCAGGAAACACTGACAGCAATGAAGGGAGAAATAGATAATTTAACAATAACAGTTGCAGACATCAATACCTCACTTTCAATCACAGACATAAAAACTAGGCGTAAGACAAGGAAAGAGAAGAATTGTATAACACTATAAACCAATTAGACCTAAAAGACTAGAACACTCCACTGATCAACAGAATATATATTTCTAGTGCAATCTCCAGAATAGCCTTCATGCTAGCTAGGCCATAAAACGAACTTGAACACATTATAAAAGACTGAAATAATACAAAGTATGTTATCCAATCACAATGGAATGAAATAAGAAACCAGTAGAAAAGAAATTTGGAAAGCTTATAAATATGTGGAAATTAAACAACACACTCCTAAATACCAATGGGTCAAAGAAGAAATCAATGGGGAAATTAGGTAATAGTTTGAGAAGATGGAAAGGAGGACACAATACATCCATACTTGTAAGACACAGCTAAAGCAATATCTAGAGGGAAATTTATGACAGTAAATATCTGGTTTTTTTTAAATCTCAAATAACCTAACTTTCCACCTTAAGCTACTGGAAAAAAAGAGCAAATTAAATCTAAAGTAAGCAGAAGGAAGGAATTAATAGAGAGTAGAGGTGAAATTTATGAGATAAAGGATAGAAAAATAGGGAAAAACCAATGAAACCAAAAGGTGGTTCTCTGAAAAGATTAAGAAAATTAACAAACCTTTAGCTAAAGTGACGGAGAAAAGGAGAAAGAAGACTCAAATTATTAGAATCAGAAATGAGGCCGGGCGCGGTGGCTCACGCCTGTAATCCTAGCACTCTGGGAGGCCGAGGCAGGAGGATCGTTTGAGCTCAGGAGTTCGAGACTAGCCTGAGCAAGAGCGAGACCCCGTCTCTACTAAAAATAGAAAGAAATTGGCTGGACAACTAAAAATATACAGAAAAAATTAGCCGGGCATGGAGGCGCATGCCTGTAGTCCCAGCTACTCGGGAGGCTAAGGCAGAAGGATTGTTTGAGCCTGGGAGTTTGAGGTTGCTATGAGCTAGGCTGATGCCACGGCACTCTAGCCCGGGCAACCAGAGTGAGACTCTGTCTCACAAAAAAAAAAAAATTATTAGAATCAGAAATGAAATAGTGAATATTATTACTGATCTTACAAAAATAAAAAGAATTATAATGGAATACTATGAATAAATGTATAGTAATAAGTTACATAACTTAGATAAAATAGACAAATTCCTAGAAAGACACAAACTACTGAAACTGACTCAAGAAGACAATCTGAATTACTAATTCAAATTAGTAACTAGTAATCTAAAAATTACTCACAAAGAAAAGCCCAGGCCCAAATGATTTCACAGCTGAATCCTACCAAGCACTTAAAGAACTAATATCAATTCTTCACAAACTCTTTCAAAAAGTAGAAGAGGAGGAAACACTTCCCAATCCATTCTATGAGGCCAGTATTACATTATCCTAATACCACCAAAGAGATCACAAGA